CTCGCGCTGCCAGGCCCACCACTAAACCATGTCCCTGGGCACCTCACCTGCGCTTGTCAGCGCCGCGGGGCTGGTGACCCGGGCAGCCGGTTCCAGTGCTCGGCAGCCCTTTCAGTGAAAAAATACTTTTTTTTCTCTTGTCCTATCACTTATTACTTGGGAGAAGAGGCTGACCCCCACCTGGCTACAGCCTCCTGCCAGGCAGTTGCAGAGGGCGATCAGGTCTCCCCTCAGCCTCCTCTTCTCCAGACTAAACAACCCCAGTTCCCTCAGCCGCTCCTCGTAAGACTTGCGCTCCAGACCCCTCACTGGCTGCCTTGACCTTCTTTGGACATCGGCAGCAAAGGACCAAAAGAGAGCTGCCTGATCACAGCCTCCCTCAGCACTTGTTTGTAGTTCCCTCTCGCTCCCTGCCCATGCCTCTGCTGCCTGCAGCCATCCCTGCTGGGGACCTGCATCTCTGTCCCCGCACCTCCTCCCTCTTACTGCTCACAGAACCCCATCTCGCCAGCTCTGCCCTGCAGACACCTCCTGGCAGCAAAGCGCTGCCCAGGGCAGAACCAAATAGCTGCCCTCGCCCCCCGCATTTAAGACTAGAATTTCTTAGTATTACCTTTGTTAGGGTCTCCCCTCCCCCCCCCCCCACCCCCCTATTGTTGGCACGGGTAATACTCGTGCCCTGTTTGTCTCTAACTTATGTAAATGGGAAGGCTACGGTGTGAAACAGGTGTGATTTTTGTGGTGCAGTTAGTTTACTAGACAAGTGAAATTCCTCTGCACTGCGGGGGAAGCACCTCTGCCCTGTTCTCAAAAGCATGTTTGTCCCCGGTTCCTGAGGTATTAAGGAGCTTAGGAAAGTAGCTTTTATTGTAAAAATATTCTTGTCATCCCTGTATATGAAAATGCTGCTTACTTTGTATTCTGATCTTCTTGCTCAAGGAAAAATCATGAAAGTTCTCCATGGTTTAGTGTTGTGTGTTTTTTTAATGGGTGGGGCTCTTTTTGTAGAAGTAGGTTATTAATAGTCACTTCTGGTGAGATAGCAACCAAAAGCCTTCTTTATCCAAATTCCGCCCTGTGTGCTGGAGGAGCATAGCCTTCATGTCCATAGCTCTTGTGTAGGGCTGTGAACATTTTTGAAATTGAAGGCAGATATATGAACTTTCTCATTGTCATCAGAAGTAGCTGCTATTGCTAGATGAGCCAAGCAGCGTTGCTTGCTGTATGTAGATCTTATCATTCCTCTAGTCTAAGGGATTTCTCGGTGGCTTTTCCGTTGCTTTGGGAGTTTCCTGGATGTGCCTAAAACAGGACCTGTTGCATCCCTTTTTTAAAAAAGGAACAGTCTCCTTTTGCTTTCCCTGTAGGCTTAAGCAGCTGGTTCTGCTACTGAGTGTTCAGAACGGCTCCCTGTGATTTCCTCGCGTACTATTCCAGAATTCTTCAGCTTGTTTTGTTTAATTAAGATTGTGAGATCCTGTTCTGCAGCTGAGATTGTAAGAGAGCTTTGGGACTGGGTGTCTGCGGAGGACCAGTGGAGAGCTAGGACTCTGCATACCTGTGTGAGTCAGGCTGCCCGTGTTCAGCCTTAGATGCGACTTCTTCGTCTCTCCTGCACTGCTCTTGCAGATGGTTCCAAAAGCGTGTTAGTGATGCATGGCTAATTGAGCATCCTCTGGTAACTTTTAGTGTGAAGGCATTTTGTTACCTTACATTACGTAAGCTGGCATGCCGCTGCTAGTCCGAGCATCTGAGTCAAAGTGCTGTAGACTTATCCAGGAAATGAGATTCCAGGGTCCAAACACCATACGGTTGAAAGGGAGTTACAATGGTGATTGGGCAACTGGAGAGGGTAGTTGTGGCTGCAAGTATCATAATATCCTTTAACGAAGAAATTATCTATCTCTCTATAAAACTTTGATTCTGCAGTGGTTGATTAGGGTAGGAGATCAGGAATACAAATATAAACTCCTTCCTGTTGTTCACTAAACTAAATCAGCAAGATTTCGTACACTTTTTGTTTGCGTGCTTGCGTTACTGCTATTAGTTGTTGCCTATGTGTAAATGTTCTTGTGTTGATTTTATCAAGGTAAAATAATCTGTTGTTTCCATGTGAGAAAATCAATACTCTGAATAAAAGTCAGACTGATCTGCCTAAGTGCATAAAGTAAATCAGTAGCAGTTTGATTGGCATGTGAGTTTCTAGCCTTGCAAATGCCTGCTGTAAACACCAGGATGCTGTTGGTAGGTCCTCATCCTCTATCAGCCTTCCCCCATCCCCCGAACGCCTGCCTTCCCAGCCTCCCCGCTTCTCTACCCAATTTCAAAGCACTGCACCTATCCCAGTCTCATGTCCTTGAATATCTGGAAATGAGGGGGGAGAGAGAAGCACATAGCAGCACATCTTCAGGATGGATTATGCTTCATTCTCCTGTGGGAAGCTGTGACACACAGAAGCTGTAGGCATCCTCAGAATCCCTACTCACCATGCAGGGATTACTGCTTTTCACAACACCCTGTGAGATTGTCTAGCGCTTAAAGTGTGACAATCTCATTGTGGCTATGAAGGACTTTGATTTTAGACCTAAAAAGACCACAGTCTTTCAGTCAGTGGAAAATCAAGCCAAAACTGTTCGGTTTTGGGACCCTGGAGATTGTACTTGGGTGGAAGAAAAGTCAGTGTGGTATCTGTGGCCCGGTTTGTTGAAGGAACCCAGAGAGATCTTTGCACCTTCCCTGTATGAGTCGAGTAAATTGTTGGCCACCACACCAGCAGGAGGATCGCAGTGCCAGCCACGCTGGTGGGGACATTCTGCCATGCTACAGATGGCAGCCAAACTTCCAGTGACTTCAGCAGAGGTCCGG